CCAGTCACCGAGCCTGACCATGCATCCGATCCATTTAGTCGTCTCTTACGACAGGCATAGGTTGTGTGGTCATATGGTAAGACACAGATAATTTTCTAAATACTTGGTTGTGTCTCCATATATGATTCAATGTACAGAGACAACATAGATGGTCAATACGTTATTTAAATACAATACCATATATCTAAACTTTCCCGCAAAAATAATATCAGATAAAATTGGAAGATATCACTGATTTTGGAATTACGATCACGCGCTGTATGAAGTGATGGCGAAGGATGCGACCGAGGAATGACAACGGCTTCACACAATCCTGCTGCGTCAAATATGTATTCACAGAAGGACAAAATAATATTCCTCAGGGTGACAGATACTGTGAATTTTTGTTTGAAGAAAAATATAAAGCTTGTGGAATATGAATACCATTAGAAGAAGATATGTGATAGTGAAGACTACAATCATCTAATATTTGCATCCAAATCCACATCTACATCCACATCCATATCCACACTCACATCCACATCCACATCCACATCCACACTCACATCCACATCCACACTCACATCAACATCCACACTCACATCCACATCCACATCCACATCCACATCCACACTCACATCCACACCCACACCCACACCCACACCCACATCCACACCCACATCCACATCCACACTCACATCCACACCCACATCCACACTCACATCCACACCCACATCCACATCCACATCCACATCCACACTCACATCCACACTCACATCCACACCCACATCCACATCCACACCCACATCCACATCCACATCCACACTCACATCCACACTCACATCCACATCCACACCCACACCCACACCCACATCCACACCCACATCCACATCCACACTCACATCCACACCCACATCCACATCCACATCCACACTCACATCCACACTCACATCCACACCCACATCCACATCCACATCCACATCCACATCCACACTCACATCCACACCCACATCCACATCCACATCCACATCCACATCCACACTCACATCCACACTCACATCCACACCCACATCCACATCCACATCCACATCCACACTCACATCCACATCCACACTCACATCCACACTCACATCCACACCCACATCCACATCCACATCCACACCCACATCCACATCCACACTCACATCCACACTCACATCCACACTCACATCCACATCCACATCCACATCCACATCCACATCCACATCCACATCCACACTCACATCCACACTCACATCCACATCCACATCCACATCCACATCCATATCAACATCAACATCCACATCCACATCCACATCCACATCCACACCCACATCCACATCCACATCCACATCCACACTCACATCCACATCCACATCCACATCCACATCCACATCCACATCCACATCCACACCCACACCCACATCCACATCCACATCCACACTCACATCCACATCCACACTCACATCAACATCCACACTCACATCCACATCCACATCCACACTCACATCCACATCCACACTCACATCCACATCCACATCCATATCAACATCAACATCCACACTCACATCCACACTCACATCCACATCCACATCCACATCCACATCCACATCCACACCCACATCCACACTCACATCCACATCCACACTCACATCCACATCCACACTCACATCCACATCCATATCAACATCAACATCCACATCCACACTCACATCCACATCCACACTCACATCCACATCCACACTCACATCCACACTCACATCCACATCCACACTCACATCCACATCCACATCCACATCCACATCCATATCAACATCAACATCCACATCCACACTCACATCCACACTCACATCCACACTCACATCAACATCCACATCAACATCCACATCCACACTCACATCAACATCCACACTCACATCCACATCCACATCCATATCAACATCAACATCCACACTCACATCCACATCCACATCCACAACCATAGTACACAGACCAACAAGCAACTGAAAACGTGTTTGCAATGAGAAACAAGAAACCTTGACATACAGTGTAAATACCTTTGTATGTAGGAAATTACATTTTAAATAATATTGTATTGTGGGCTGTTGGCCTTATGACTGACTAAATGTATCTGTCTGTCATGTGAACACTGGACTGAATATTTGACGTCTTGCTTAAAACTCCAGCGCTTTCAAACTGGATTATCTAAATTATGACAAGAAAGTATGGATGTTTAACTTCTTTCTTACATTTGTAGCGACATTTAAATGGCGACCCAGAAACCGTTATCAAGTAAATGACGTACACATGTAATGAAGAAGTTGATCGTACATCTCGTTATCAGTTACTTATCAAACTTATCATTGCCATCCAAAGAAATTGGAGTTTGTCATCCAAAGAACAAGTATGTGGCTAAGTAGATGTATTCCACTAAGAACACGGGGTCTGCAGATTTAAAGTGTCATGAAATTCATCCAATATCTTCCCTTACATGTGAAGTAGCTTCATGAAAAGGCAAAGCTAACATATGACAAAAGGCTAGTTTAAAGGTTTTCTTGAAGCTGTTTTTAAAAATATCTGAACATAGGGTTTTTTTCTTTGCTGATGTTCTTACGGAGTACAATTTGAGAAAAAGATTCAACCTTGGTCATCGACATTACTCGTTGCTAGACTTTTCTCTTGCAGTTCGTTAGATTGGCTTTCTTCATTCATTTAGCCATAGTTAGGTACTTCATCAAATATACAACACCTAAAGAGTCTGGTTATGTGATCATATCCAACAATTGTCATAACAATATAGCCGTACCAAAACATTTTCCGTTACTTTAAGATTAATAAAATGCATCGCAATTTAACTTTAAGATTGATAAAATGCATCGCAATTTACCTAAAAGAATTTGCCTGTATAATGGACGTTATAGTTCCACCCGTTCGGTGTACTTTAACCACTGTAAAATAAGGTGTGAGTGACTAACTTGACCATACATATAAGATTTAATTTAAACACATAATGTGTTATCAGCATGAAACCCAGAAAACAATTATATGTGTGAATGTGTGCGAGGATTAAATTTGTGTGAGTGAGTGAGTATGCTTTTACGCCGCTTTTAGCAATATTCCAGCAATATCACGGCGGGGGACGCCAGAAATGGGCTTCACACATTGTACCCATATCGGGAATCGAACCCTGGTCTTCGGCGTGACGAGCGAACGCTTTAACCACGAGGCTACCCGACCGCCCCTTAAATTTATGTACCCCTATTACGCAACTAAACTACCAAGAAAGTATGCACCATGTTTGATGGTGGATAAAAAAATGAAACAAACAAGAACTGGCTATTCGATGACGATGTGTTTGATACGGGTGTCATAGTTATGTTTTGGACCTCAAATTTTCAATGTTACGGCGACTGTTTTCTGCCTAGTCGGGTTAAATAACGTTTCCATTTGTATGGACAATCCAATTTTCATGTTTATACTTTCTCTTGCCCGGCATTTGACTTCAGACTTGTCACAAGTTTCAATAAATTAAGGGGACACGGGTGGCCAAGTCGTCAAAGGCGCTGCGATTCGCTGTGCAGAGTTGCGTCCCTTAGACACGCCAGAAACCTATGGTTGTGGGTTCGAATCCCGGTTCGCCCCAATTATGTTTCTAGGGTTATCAGCATCATACCCGTGCTCGTGGGTTTCACCGAAGTGGTAAACGTCTGAGACCTGCATCACTTCGGGCTTTCCTCCCACATTAAGCAATATATAACTGGAATACTGTTGAAAGCGACGTTAAACCCAATTCACTCACTCACTCACTCACTTCAATAAGCTCAACAGGGATTCATTTCAATAATTCATGGATTCATTAGGTTTTAACTATTGTCGCGAACTCACTACCTCCACAGCCTCAATTAAGGGACGCCGACATAAAAGTTGATTACAACTGGGTTTTTATTTCAGAAGTCTGATACCGTGAATGGCTTGTTCCATTACTTGTAAAGGCGACCACTTGGTCATTTTCAACCAAAACACAATGGAAACTTAAATTAAGAATCAATCAATAGTTTAAAGGGAACTGTACAAAGTAACACTAGGTGAATGCAGATAAGGATAATATACTTTTCAAGTTCAACACTTCTCCTTACCAATATCAAAATGTAACTAGGCGAGATTGGACTCCCGCAGACGGGATACGCATCTATTTCGTCAGCCAACGTGCAACTTTAGTCAGGAAACCCGTTTATCCGGTGGATCAATTCGAGTGGATTAATGAGGTTCCACTTCCTTTTCTTTAGGCATGTTGGTCATGCGAACAGACTGTCCGTTATATACGACTGGTCATTTTCTGACAGTTATGTAACGCATCAGGCACATGCGTCTTACATCAGAGTTACAGGTAGCAGAGGGTTGTTACATCTTCAAACACTATTTTCGTCAAATGGGCGACAGACAACCATAGATTAGCGGCTTTTCCATATGGATAGTTAGCACGCTATATTTACCAATATATGTTAGCGACGCCTAAATCTCATTGTTGGCTCTATACAGTTTTGATCAGATTCTACTTAGTCTGAAGCAAAACAGTTTCGTTAAAGGGAAACATGCATGCATTCATTTCTGTAACTTCGCGCAAAGAGTTGACAATTACCCGTATTTTTGCGACAATGTGTATTTTTTTATTTAGAATAATAACATTTTTTAAATTTTCGGGAACACCCAATTTCGTCAATTTAAACAAAAGTGTCTGTATAAACTGAGGTGTTCATTTCCGTGAGCCTCAATGAAAGAGTTGACAATGAACCGCATCTCTTTGCGACAATGTATGGTATTTCATTGAGGATACGAACATTTTAAAGTTTGAGAAAACACAAGTTTGTCCTTTTTAACACAAAAGTACATGTATAATTTGTTTTACTTTTTGATTTGCTGTGTGAAATTTACGAAAGGGTATCTTCTTTGTGGAAACAGTATAAAATAAAGAAGATGCTCAAAAATCAGATAGTAATACTAACCTTTAAAAACGTTCCGCCAATAGATAATACGGCACAATTAGCACTTGCTACCTACAAGTACGTCTTTCCAAACCACTGATGTTAATCCACCTGTGATGTCTGTGTCCTCAATACCTCTTCCTCGCGACCGCCACCAAACACTACCATCCCTCCTCAGCCGGCGATGACGTCGTTTGAACTTCCAGAGCGTAGGAGCAAGTTTGGTCACACGCATCCGCCTTCCCCTTCCCTTCTCAAACTCATCCCATTTCCTATGTTATTTTACAGTAGTAGGCATCTGTCCACGTGGCCAATTGGCTGAATGCTTGTGGAGATTATGACTGTCAAAGAGGCGCCTTTAACCAATCACATGTCGCACTCCCAAATATGCATTTACAGGTCATTTCAAAATATCCTTCAGTTTACGCGTTTGTTAATTTCACACTAACACACCGAGGCAGTGCACTTTGTTGTGTTGGATTTATTACCCCAAATCTCGTGCCCCACCTTACACAGTCGAGAGCCGAGTACTGTATTCTCGTCTCCCGGGACCCATGGATCGTGTCTGTGTCATTACCCAACCCCATATACAGGTCATTTGATGGCGAGGGAGCGGCCCGACCATTCCCTCACTTAGTGCCCCTGGATCCAGGTCCGCGCTCAGCTAGAGCAAATCGAGAGCCATCCACAACGAGCGTTAAACATAGACCGGAAGTTAACCCGACGCCATAATGCAATATTTCCATTATGAGAAGATTTATTGGAGGCGATCAAACATTACTACCCGATCACTTCCGACAACAGAGCATTAATTAAGGAAAAAATAGTTATTTTCTGTATCCGAAATCATTTCTTCATGTTAAATGCTGTTTAGGATTGGTTTGACAACAGGTCGTGCTCTCTGCTCGTCCGCCTATATAGAATGAGCTATAACACCATATAAATTGGTTATATTCAAACACTAGTGGTAAGGATGTAGTACTGGTATTATCTTGTTACACGACATTGCATGAAATTAGTTGCGATTCTACTCTCACACATCTCATACTTGTTTTACGATGTAACCAGGTTTTCGTATAACGCCTTTACAAACATAGGAAAAACTATTGATACATGGTATAACTCATAATTGTAACTCATTGACAATTTGTAATGGAAATCTGTCAATACATCAAATTGTTGAACAGAAATTAGAATAGCTTGTTCGTGTTACATGATTGGTTGACGATTCAGTTAATCAGGAAAAATATAAATGTTCATTAAAAGTATCAAATAATAATAACATTGACAACAACAACAATAATAACATCAAAATGTAAATATGAAATGTAGAATATGCAACGAACACAAACACAGTGTCTTAAGCGACATGATGGAGTGGTTCGATCATTTTATTATCGTCTTCACCATGCCTGTGGTTTTGACATAGAGGACCATCCATGGTACGACCCAGAGTATGTAGAGGGTGTCATGGAAAATGATAAATACAAAAGTCTTTGGAATACAGCCTCAGACGTATCCAGGCCAACAAACATGATCTTGTCCTTTTTTAAAAAATCCAATGAAATCATTTATATCATTGAATTTTATGACAAGATTCAGGAAAAATAATGCAAATGTGCGGACCTCGCTTTCGAAATGTCACGCTTGCATCCCAAGTACCAAGTTGTCCGACTCCCCATTGTTCTCGGTGCCTTAGGTTTGGTACCTCCCAATTTGTTGACTGACATTGGGAGAGTACCCGGGTTTGCTACCAGGAATACAACCCTCCTGACAATCTGGGTAATGCAGATGGGTGCAGTGTTGGGGAGTCTTCACATTCTCCGCTTCCTGGGAGAAGTCCCATTCGCTGTCTGGGCTGCGTGTAGAGGGGGCAAGGGCCCTGAGCTGATGATGAGCCTAACCAGCCTGTCTGCCCGGATCACTTAAACCCTCTTTGCTGCATTTTTTATTTTGATCTGTAAATGATAATGATAATAATAATAATAATAATAATAATATAAAATGTAGATTATGTAATGATTATGTTGTTCGACTGCCCATTGTTCTCGGTGCCTCAGGTTTGGTACCTCTCAATCTGTTGACTGACATTGGGGGAGTACCAAGGTTTGCTTCCAGGAATACAGCCCTTCTGACAATCTGGGTAATGCAGAAGGCTGCAGTGTTGGGGAGTCTTCACATTCTCCGAAAAGTTCTGGTTGGGTTTGACTAGGCACCCAAACCCTCTTTGCTGTAATCTAATCTGTAAATAATAATAATAATAATAATAATAATAATAGTTCTCAGCACATTTGGGCTCCTGTGCAATAGTATTCCACAATGCGGGGACAGAGATTGTCAATATCGTGAACATTGTCAACATTAGACTACAAGAAAGGAGGGATTGATAATGGGAATAAGATTTACATGCAGTCTATGAAACACAATACATTTAAATGAATTCCTCCCCTTTAAATATTTTTCGTCCTGATGCTGGTGGAATAGGGCTGCTTTTTTATAATCTAGATTGGTTTTCTTTTCATATAATACATAATATTTCCCAGTCACAGTGCAGGACTTAGTGAGTGAACGCTAGCATGTGGGTAATTTAACCCGATAATGACGATCCAGCTTGTCAGGGGAGCTTTCCCTTGTCGTTGAGGTGAGCGCTCTAAAAGCAACCCATCGTTGTATATTATGTCTTTACTCCAACAGAACTCCCCTCCCACCATCGGCCTCATTAGTGAAGAATTTACAAAAAAAACTGCAATAAAACCCATGCCTTTACACTCCTCTTTAATACACTCGTCTGGGAATGCACTGGGCATCAACACGTGTTAAAACATTTGAAGTTGCGGCGAGACACTTCTGATGTTAACACACACGGTGCGGAATCAACAAGGGCATTTTGATGCTACAATTCGCATGATTTGAAGTCACTTGCCACCATTAAAACGCTTATAACATTAAGATTCTGGTATTGTTTCTGTTACTTCTGTGTAATATGCCTCACGAGCAACCGATAACGGTTGTAGAGTAGTAGAATATCTGAAAAATGTTAATTTTGGGGGGCATTTTGGGGTAAAAGTTGGGACTTTTTAACATAATTGATGTAATTTGCATAAACAAAATGCCATTTTTTCACGTTTCGTGAACCGTTTTTTGCCTTAACTCTGTAACCAGGCATGCACAAAAGACAAAAAAAGAGTCTGTACCTATGTGTCTAACTCTGGCTCCCAACCTTTACCCAAAAATGCTCCTTGACCCTAAAACAGGGCCTTTTTAAAAAAAGGTTTGGTAATACATGCAACGTTTATCATTATTGAATTAGATAAGCTTTACTTCAGAGTCCTTGAGATGGCACTGTTCGTTTGAACAGGACTGATTCTCTCTTGAGAAGTTTATAACATCATAAATATTGTACTTTCTCCAAAATTATATAAACATATAAAAAATTATATCCGAAATTAAAAGTCTTTATATGTTTTATACTTTCTTCAAAGGCTTCAAATTATATCAAATTTTAGTTTCAGAATACCACCGTTCTCGCTATCGCCGAGGACATCCCATTACAGGTCACGTCAGAACAACCTTTCGCGAACTATGATCGACCAAAGAAATGCTAACATGAAGTCAACGTTAGCCACTTAGAAAGCAGCCTTCCAACTTGCGACTTCCATTCCAGACTATGCTTTTTAAAGTATTTTGAATAAGTCATACAGTCAGTAACAGCTGTTTTGTGTTGAGCTTTAGAGGTTGCATGATTAGGAAACATACTCCGCTAACAATGTAACATAACAAAATGAATATTTCATTTTTATTTTTTTATTACGTGTTTGTATCGTTATCTATCGTGTAGTTGTCCGATTTTCGATCACGAAGTTGATACTACTTGATATCGTTTATCCGACATACTCGTTAATCCGACATAATCATATGCAACCAACCATGTCGGATTAACGGGACTTGACTGTACTTGTTGTTACCCTGTCTGGCGCTCGGCATTAGGGGCTAAAACAAGGACTGGTAGGCTCGGAGTCAGTATACTGTGTCTGAGTGGGGTATTCATGTTAAACTGCGGCATGGTATCTCGGTGTGCTAGCACTATAAATCGGCATCAGTCCGGACCAGTACAAGCTGCCACGCACACACGTACATGCACGTCGCTATATAAGTGCAATAATCATGAACGCGACGTTAAACCCCATTTCACCTCACCACCGTAAGGGGCAACTAACGGGATCGGAAATTGGAAAATACACTGTGTATACATATAACCCCAGCAACCTATTCTTGTCGTAAGAGTCTATTAAATGGATCAGATGCATGGTCAGGCTCATTGACTTGGTTGATGCATTTCATCGTATCCCAATTGCGTAGGTCGATGCTCGTGATGGCTCGATTATTTACAGACCGCCGTCATATAGCTGGAATATTACTGAGTGCGGTGTTAAACAACAAACAAACAAACATGCGTGTGGGGGCGTACGTGGGTTGTTGAGTAGTGAAAATACATAATTTTATAATATTTGTCAGAAAGAAGGCCCGGTACCACAGTCCACCGTCACCTGGCTGATGGTAACGTGTAACGGTGACGAACCGAACCGTTGCTCGACCGGCACCATGCCCGTATACCCACAAACTACCGTTATGCAGCTGTACATCCCAACTGGCTGCCACTAGTTCCTCTTCTAACCGCACCGTTACCGCATAACCAACTGTCCTTATCCCCACACCACCAACCACAACCACTAATTCGTTTCACACACCTCAAATGCTCAACATTTCACAACAAATAGTTCAGCTGGTCTGAAGGGGAGCAGTGGTAATACTGATACGGGGGCTTGGTATAATACGCTGCAGACATGTCGCTAAGTGGGCTTCTTTATAGAGGTTTTCGCCGTCTTTTGGTGAAATGTAGGGAGACAAAACAGATTTATCTAAGTGGCAGGGAGTGGAGGACACACGTGGTTCAGTATCCCACTATCACCGAAATTGCAGGGACAGATGGTTGTGATCAAATCAATTCCATTTTATGTTAGTGTAAAACCTTTCTCGTGTGTGGTACGTCTGTAAAGAGTGAACTCATTGACTGGAAAGGCTAGGCTAACATCTAATCTTTGAAATGAATATATTTTACAGAAGAAAAACTGTCGACAGATTATCTTCATCATATGTAATAAAAAGGAGCCAACGGACTTTCTTCATTTTCAGAAACTGCAATAATCTAGACTTGCATGGGCTGTATTGGATATATTCGTTTCAGGGTCTGTATGACAGATTGTGGCAAGGCTACTAAAAGAATTCT